TCTCTGTGTGTGTGTGTGTGTGTGTGTAACGGGCAGCAGCGGCGGGCGGTACGTCGAAATGGCCGCTTTGAAATTGCTCGGGCCTGTGTGAAACCCGCCACACCAAAAACCTGCAGTGTCTTGTGTCCGGACCTCTAGGCCCTGTCCGGTGGGGTGAAACGACACTGAAAATCACCCCATTATTTTTCGAGGGGCGGCCAGGAGCCGAAAAATGTCCTGGGCTGCCCCTTTATTTTATTTATTTTTTTGCCCTGGGGGCCTCCATCTGGACATAAGGACCGGACACCGGGCACCGGGCATGTTGTTCCGGACTGTCTGGAACCCGGTCCGGACGTCCGGTCGGTTACCATGGTGAATAACTTCAATAGCATTATAGCACTGAATATATAATCTTTTTTTACTTTTGCGAGTTTCATCTTTCAAGTTCTATCTTCAGCAGATTGTAACAGCTCCTGCATGGTTAGCAAGTTAGCTGTGACTTGTTTGTCCTTCAGCAGTATCAGTAAAAAGTTAAAGCCCCCTTTGAGTGTGAATCTCTGAGTTTAACAGCTAACCATAAGTCAGTAAAACCCCCTCTGAGTGTGAATCTCTGACTCAGCTAACCATAAGCTGATTGTAACATCCCCTGCATGGTTAACAAGTCTGTCCTTTGGCGGTATCAGTAAACCGTACTAAACCCCCCTCTGAGTGTGAATCTCTGAGTTTGTTTGTCCTTTGGCGGTATCAGTAAAAACCCCTCTGAGTTTAACAGGCAAGATCAGCCATTCTCCTCTGCGATGGGGAGAGCCCGAGGAGGCGCACTGAATGACACAGCGTTCTGTGTGGGGGGGGCTCTGTGTTGGTTTATTTCGGGGGCCACTTTTGTTGGGGGGGTGGGGGTTTGGGGGGGGGAGGAATCAATGGTTGTGTGCGATTAACAGGTGTCTGCAGATTCGTCAGACAGTGCTCTGTTCAAATCACATGCAGGTAATTCGCCTCTCCAGTGAATGGGCTCAGAATGACGAAATATGCAAAGGACTGAATAAGGAAAAGATCGATGAGGGCTTTAAGAGATTCTCCCATACTCGAGGGGATCTTTCCAATAACCTGTGCTTTTAGCTGTAAGGTGGCAGAGAGAGAGAGAGAGAGAGAGAGAGAGAGAGAGAGAGAGAGAGAGAGAGAGAGAGAGAGA